ATGGGAGGGCTCCGGTCGCGACGCCGCCCCCCCGGCTGCTGCCGCCTCCACGAGGCAGGTGCTGCTGTTTGCTGACAGGAAGTTCCTGGACCTTTCTGGGGAGGACACCAAGATTCACACACTATCCTATGACATCGATGACGATGATGAGTTCCAGGAGCTGGAGGTGAGGATGACTAAGGTTATTGTCTTCATCTGTACTGTTTCACTGCTCCTGATGCTGCCGGTACAGACAATCACAGGCAGGGGAAATAAACACCTCGCTGGCCTGACTGTAAGACAACACTGGGTAACCACCAGGGGTCAGACACGACAGTCCATCATTTTATCTTGTACGGTGTGTCACAGTAAACAACGTCCCAACCCAAAGTCCAGCATGTCAGAGGTTCTATGATGAAGTGGGCCGACAGTGACTAACAGGAGCACAGATGGCGCTCCTGTTCACAACATTTTTGGCCTAAATAATATTCAATAAATATCTCAGTGACACAGCTAACGATAGATGTCGACTTTCGCAGCTAGCCGTGTGAAGTAGCTACCCTATCAGGCTAGCTAGCTAGCTAGCGTTTGGTTTCACTACCGGCTTAAAACACTTAGTTTTAATTGCTACCCCAAGTTCTCCACCACAGTGCTGCACGTTACGTGTGACCCACAGACAGGTCCGTGGGCTTTTTCCCTACCACTTTTTTATGCTTGTCCAAACACAAGCAGCCAGAACCACACACTCTTCTCCTGGTCACTTCGCCTTCAAGGCGTTAACGTCAGGCTGCGATCTGTCAGGTCCCAGCGTGTAGTCTGTCATATATCCCGCTCTATCACTGTGTAGTCTGACATAGTGCCCATCGTAGCAGACAAACACATTGTGTAGAATGAACCAGGCATTAATCCTAAGATATGAGGACAATGGACTCGAGGAAACACCTTATTAATGAGACTTTCATCTGAAGCGTCCAGTCACCAACTGATTTCTGATAAAAGTGCATGTCAGCTCACAAAGAACTGTTGTGAACAATGCTCTTGTGTCACCCATGGCTCCTCCAGCATCCTCCTTACTCCGCAGAACTGATATAAAAGACTTGGAACGTCCAGGATATAGGAACGATCTTATAAGACTTGAGATGTACGCCTGATGTGTTTCATCAAAAACGTTTAACTTCCGGTCTGTACGGGAACTATGAGTACAGCTGCTTCCTTTCTGCAGTAAAGACTCAGACAGCAACTGCTGCCGGTTGAACTGGACCAACAAAGTGACTGACTCACTATAACCACACTGACACTCAGCAACACTGCTTCTCTCTCCGTTCCAAAACAAAATCTGATGCTGTGAGCACAAAGTCGTCTTGTCCTCAATATAAGATGCCTCCACTTTTTCAGACCTCATGTCCAGAAGAAAATATGCTGTTATATTCAGGGCCATACAGGAATTTATATACGCATGATGTTTAAACTAGCGCATCCTGTTGTTGCATAGAGATGAAGCACAAGGCTTTCAGGTGCCATTCCTCTTTTGTCCACTAGATGCTGCTGTGTCAAACTCTGTACTGCAGTGAATGGGAAAAAACCTCCAACTTCTCTCTACAAATACAAAATCAAAACATCAGCTCTCAGCAGATGCCCCCCCCAATCCCAAATCCTCCAGACCACATCTTTCCATCCTTTGTTTTCAAACCTCCACGCACCAGCCTCCTCCACCTCTTCCTCTGTCAGTGTCTCGTGTTCAGCCTCCAGCAGCAGAATAACACAGCTCCCGAATCCTAATGTCGACGTGCTTCATCAAGCTGCTGAGGATGAGGAGCTGCAGAGAGGAGGTGGAGGAGGAGAGAAGAGGGATGGATACTTTGAGGAGGCAATAATAGTGAAGATTGGGAAGTAAAAAGAAAAGCAGAGTGTGAAAGCAAGAAGTAAAGTACCAATAATACAGTGTACAAATACTCAGTTACAAGTAAAGGTCCTGCATTCTAACTGCTACTTAAAGGTAGGGTTGGTGATCCTGGAAAAGCCAGTAAGAAGAAGATTGATTTTGAGAGAAGACAATCAAAGAAATCCCACCCTTTGGTTCTGGCTCCTCCAAAACACAACGTGCACTGCCTGACTACTACGCCTAACCTGTCCAGCAGAAACACGGCCACCAGGGCGGTGTTGCCCGACCTCTGGTTCATGGCTGACCTACCTTTAAGTAAAAGTACAAAAGTATTAACATCAGCATGTACTTGAAGTACCATCAGTACCAGTACTCGTCCAGCAGAACGGCCCGTGTCCCAGTAACGTCTCTGATACTGGATCATAGTGACTAATTACTGTGTCCATCACTTTAATGCTGCAGCTGGTAAAGGTGGAGCTGATGGTAACTACCTTATATACTTATACTGGGAAGTACTTTACATCCTGCTGGGTAGCTGGTGGATTTCCTACTGGGATCAATAGAGTCTGATGGTTCTACTGGGTTTGGTTTGATTCATCTGGTTCTGGACCTGAAGTTATCAGGTACATGTAGTGTAGTAAAATGGACATGGAAGTACTCAGAATTGTAGATAATACTTGAATAAATGTGCATGGTTACTTTTTACCACTGGAGAGTGGTTCCCTAAAAGACAGAGAGATGGTCATATATTATATGAACAGTTTTGTGCACAGCCCGTCTGACAGCATCTGTGTGAGTGTATTTACTAATCCACCTGAGTGAGCGTCCCCCCATCCCGCAGGCACGATGAGATTAGTGGCTGCAGCTCTGTGACACACGTTTGGCCGACTAACAGCCAATCGCTTTAGAGATGATTAGATGGAAACGCTGCGATTTCCTCTCGGTTAAGTGCAGTTTAATCTCCTCTGCCCTGTTAATACTGAGAAGCAGACATGTTGTCACGGCCCAGGTGAAATGTGTACTATCTGCACAGAGACACACAGACAAGGCAGTGCTTGTCTGCACCTGAGCTGAACAACAGGACAAGCTGAACAGCTAAATCCAGACGTGGACCAGAGAGGGACACGCACAGCCTCTATTGGTCTGGGGCTCTTGGTCCTATAAGAGACGGGTCGGTGCCTTTGACCTGTCTCTTGTCTCATGTTCAGTCAGGACCAAACTCCCGTGTCTCTGTCTCTCTGTTTTATTTTTAGGGGATGGGGGTCAACAAAACCATTTCAGCTGTGTTTGGATTTACAGGGGACAAAGTGTAACTCTGTCCTTTTCTTTTTTTTATTGACAAGCTGAGAATTACCGGTTAAGACCTTTCTGGTTTGGTTAGGCCCTAACCAGCATGGAAACTCACCTGTGTATGTGTTGTCAGAGCGACTACTCCAGTGAATCGGAGAGTCTTCCGGCTGATGCCCCCCAGAGACCACCTGGGCCTCAGCGTCTTCTCCATGCTCTGCTGCTTCTGGCCGCTCGGCATCGCCGCTTTCTACCTGTCACACGAGGTGAGGACACGCCCACACGCAGCTCACACACCTGGGCTGACCTGACCACTGGTACTGATGACAAGTAGCAGCCATACTAGCAGTAGTATTAGTAGATTAAGAGTATTTGTTCTACCAGTACAAGTACCAGCAATGAGCGGTAGTATGAGTGCATTAGCAGCAGTAGCAGTAATACTCAGAGTACCAGTAGTAATAGTAGTACCATCAGAAGTAATTCAGCAGTACATTACAGTGTACATGTGCAGCTGTGTGCGTACTGGTGTTTATGCAGTATTGTGTACTAGTTGATCTACACTACAGTGTGTATTAGAGTTTAGAGTGTTGCGTTTTCAGGCCGCTGCTGTTTCTTCTTCTTCACTTCCTGTTTAACATGAAGCTGCACCTACACACTGACACAATACTTCTTATATAACTGATCTGCCATCAGCTGCTGCTGTTCTT